ATATTCTATTTTTCCCTCTTGGAAATTAACATGAGTCTGTTCGAAATCATGACTGGATAGCTCATCAGTGCTAACCAGATTTGAAGACTTGAAAAATGTTATCATTAGAAATCTTGATGCAGATGTTAATTTCTCTTTGTAGGAGGGGAGGGGGGCAGGTAAAAGTAAATTTGAAGGAAAAATAAAAAAAGGGCGAGGCTCATCAAGTGCCTGTGTACCCGCCCAGGGGCATAGCATGTCGGTGGTTAAAGAGGGGATAGTGTACCATWTTCCTGCCAATAGACATGCATATGGGTTTCATCTTTAGGTTTAATAAAACTCATCCCAGCGTGCCATTTCACCCCCTTCCTACTTTAATACTAATCCCTCTAAAACAAAAAATAGCAGCAGCATTTCCAGGCATTAATTGCTAGTGTTTTTATTTTTAAAGGATGATGAGATTCAAGCACATTCCCAAACTATCAACCAACTAAAGGAACAACTAGCTGAACAAGAAGAGGTAGGATGATAACAAGCTGCATGCTACCAACTGAAASATGTTGCTTTTAAGTCATGAAATATGTATGCTATATACAACAAATTATTATTTTATTTCTTTATTTTTTTATTTTATTTTTTTTTTATTTCTTTATATATTTCTTTATTTATTTTTTTATTTATTTAACTTTCAATGAGTAAACTTAATAACAATAATACAAAACAATTGAGTTGGGCAAGCTCCAACTAGGTGAAAGCCTATGAAAAATAATACTAATAAATAGTAATGAAAAATTATAGAAAATTTAAGCTAAATATATGAAATAGATCTCAAAATTACTTYTAATGCATTATTTTCTTGTTAGGCTTTGAAAGCAGCCCGCCAGGATAATGAAAAGGTCCAATCCCAAGTAACATCAATTCAGAAGGAGAGCGAGACATCCAAGACAGAGGTTAAGGAAGTTTTGCAGGCACTTGAGGAACTAGCTGTCAACTATGATCAAAAGCTACAAGAAGTTGAAGAAAAGAATAAAGAGAATGAAAGATTRAATGAAGAAGTTACCTTGAAACATGTAAGTATTTATAGGATATATTTTCTTATTCTGTCTTAAATTTGTCTCCTTTGCCTTCACTCTTTAGGGCTTAAAAYAACAACCAATCAGTTGCCGGCCAAATTAGTTTTAGCTTAGTCATAATTCATTTCTGGTTCAACATTACTAGTCAAAGTGACCAGCAAGGCAAAGATTTGACTGGACAAGTCCCAGTTCTGTCCAGACATTGTCCAATGCCAGGCCTTTGTTTTAAGCCTTGACCTTTTGTTTCCTCTTTCCTTTCCTCTTTCCTTCCTTTCCTCCTCTTTTCCTCCCTCMTTTCTTTGCTTTCCCTCCCTCAGAGACAAAACATTACATGAATTTTTCCTGGAACCTGACTSTAAWRCAAARATTTCTTTATTCATTCCCCTCAMTCATTTATTACATGTCATTATCRTGGTCATTCTTTCATTYGTAGCTATCTATTTATTTATCGCCTGTTATGCAATACRACGAACAAAATATCAATTTGCTTAATTTTTTTWAAGTGTGTGTTTGCTTCATTATTTTTTTCAGACCMAGCTAACTAAAGCCTCCAAAGAACTAGAAGAGACTCGTGAATCATCAGCCATCCTGAGGAAACGCTTGGCCGAGATGATGAACAATCTCATGACAGATCTAGGAGAAGTTGGTACTGCTGCTGGAGGTAATGCTTCAGAACTCAAGAAACCAAACATCAGCTGCAGTGGGAAACTTGATGATGACTTTACTGTAGCAAGAATCTATGTGAGCAAGATMAAATCTGAAGTCAAGTCTCTTGCAAGTGTAAGTGTAATTGATCATGTCATTAAGGGAAATCAAACCATTATTATTTTGAAGTGGGGTCACCTAGGTGAAAAT